TTTTGTGTGTAAACTTTTTCTTGAGTTTTTACAGTAGAGGTCTCATACAGTATTTGTCCTTTTGTGATTGACTTACTTTACTCAGCATAATGCCCTCCAGTTGCATCCAGGTTATGAGATGCTTCACAGATTCATCATTGTTCTTTATCGTTGCATAATACTCCATTGTGTGTATGTACCATAGTTTGTTTATCCATTCATCGGTCGATGGGCATCTAGGTTGTTTCCATCTTTTTGCTATTGTGAACAATGCTGCCATGAACATAGGTGTGCATATGACTATTCATGTGACAGCTCTTATTTCTCTGGGATATATTCCTAGGAGTGAGATTGCTGGATCCTATGGTATTTCTATTTCTAGCTTTCTAAGGAAGCACCATATCATTTTCCAAAATGGTCGTATCAATTTGCATTCCCACCAGCAGTGCATAAGAGTTCCTATCTCCCTGCAGCATCTCCAACATTTTTTATTTCCAGTGTTTTTGATTCGTGCCAGTAATGCCAGGGTGAGATGGTATCTCATTGTGGTTTTAATTTGCATTTCTCTGATGGCTAGTGATCACGAGCATTTCCTCATGTGTCTGTTGGCTGCATGAATGTCTTGTTTGGTGCTATAGCCTTTTGTATGTAGCCAAAATATAAAAATACGTTGTTGTTGTAAAAAACATACAGTATATTTGTACCCATTCCTGACCCCTACACTAAGGTATTGTTATTTGTTTAAATAGAATTTCTGAGAGGAATGCTCTTGGATTGAACGAGGTAGGTAAGAAATTAAACTGGCAACTGTTTGGATCCAGAGTTTAACTAGCATCTGGTTTTCAGCCAAAATAAAAATTGTCTCCTAGTCTTTGGTTATTCTTTGCTGCCCATACATCTAGAGCTACCAGTGGTGGATGGTGGTATATGGTATGGTATGATTGTTGTTGCTGTTAGCTGCCATTGAATCAGCCCCTGTCTCACGCGACCTCAACATGCACGACGAAACAAAATGCTGCCGAGTCCTGCGCCATCCCCGTGATTGTTTGCAGATCAGACTGTGTGATCCATAAGGTTTTCATTAGCTGGCTTTCAGAAGTAAATCACCAGGCCTTTCTTCCTAGTCCATCTTAGTATGGTATAGTTAGCCTCCCCTTAACCACCTTTAAGTTAATGGTATGGGGATACTCCACTAAAGTGCAAATATGAGGACCCATCCTGAGTTGGAATCTGTTACTTTAAGGGAAGATAATGTTTACTTCCAGAATCTAAGCATCCAAAGAGTGGTCCTTGGAGGTTGGCATCTATGGGAATGGTGAAGCAAGATGGTTTTTTTTTCCACTCCTGCCAGAGGCCTCCCTGGGAGTTTGTAGAGTTAATTCACAGGTGGTCTAAAGAAACTTTTCCCTGAGACCCTCCAGGGGCAGCCAGGCTCTTGGATTTTTGGAACAACCTTTCAACAAAGTGCAGATTGATGTGAGGAGAGTTGCTCCTTGCAGCCTCCCGTCCTGAGAGGCTCCTTCTGCAGACAGCAGGGAGTCTGTGGAAGACCTGCCCTTGGCCAGAAGCAAACTGTGTCCCCAAAGAGGCATTTAGGTTTGATGACCTGAAGCAGTTGGAGTGAAGGAAAGGTCAAGGAATGACTCTTGGTTAGCCTCCAGGCCATGGAAGGAGAGACTTTTTAGTCAGTTGAGGTGTTCTGAAGGGGCATCTATGGAACCTTGGAAGTCCTGCATGCCTGGGGCCAAGTCTACTTCCCCCTGAGCCCTGGTAGCCACAGATGACAGAGGCAGGAGCCTCTTTTTTAGAATCTTTTTTTTGGAGGAGAGGAGAATTGACCTTTTTTACTGCTGCCCAACTAGCTTGACACTTCTTTTTTGTGATCAGTCAGCAGTAAACTCCTCTTTCCTATGTATTAAAATGTCAATATTCTACAAAATTAATTCATATTATGTAAAATATTCTCTACAAAAGTAAAGAACCATTTAGTGTCAGAGTACATTATCTTCCCTAACTCAATAGTCCCTGAAGACATCATCATCAGAGAGATCCTTCATAGCCATGACATTAGTCAAAGAAGAGGTCACATTATGCTTCATAGTCTCTCTTCTTGAAAGGGGGTATTTTCTTAGATATCCTAGATTTCTATCAAAATGAATATATTTTAAAAAATCGAAAGATTTTATGTTTAAAGGAGTAAGCCTTGCCACACAGCTAGAAAACTTTTCTGAACAAATATTTTTATTAAACATTTGCTATATACCATCATTTTACTTGGACCCACAGTCAACACCCATGGAAGCAGTAGTCAAGAAATCAAGACGCATTGCATTGGGCAAATCTTCTGAAAAAGATCTCTTTAAAGTGTTAAAAAGCAAAGTTGTCACCTTGACGATTAAGGTGCGCCTGACCCAAGCCATGGTATTTTCAGTTGCCTTATATGCATGCAAAAGATGGATAATGAATAAGGAAAACTGAAAAAGAATTGACACCTTTAAATTGTGGTATTGGTGAAGAATATTGAATATACCATGGACTGCCAAAAGAACGAACAAATCTGTCTTGGAAGAAGTACAGCCAGAATGCCCCTTAGAAGCAAGGATGGCAAGACTGTGTCTCACATACTTGGGACGTGTTATCAGGAGGGATCAGTCCCTGGAGGACATCATACTTGGTCAAGTAGAGGTTCAGCAAAAAAGAGGATGATTCTCAGTGAGATGGATTGACACAGTAGCTGCAACAATGGGCTCAAGCATAACAACGATTGTGAGGATGGTGCAGGACTGGGCAGTATTTAATTCTGTTGTACATAGGGTTACTATGAGTTGGAACCAACTTGATGGCACGTAACAACAAGAAGTGTAGGAACCCTCATGGCACAGTGGTTAAGCACTCGGCTGCTAACCAGAAGGTTAGTGGTTCAAACCTACCAGCTGCTCCCAGGGAGAAAGATGTAGCAATCTGCTTCCATAAAGAATTACAGCCTTGGAAACCCTATAGGGTCACTATGATTCAGAATTGGCTTGATGGCGATGGGTTTTATATACTATTGTGAGGTATTGGTGGTTCAGTGGTAGAATTCTCTCACCTTTCCGGTAGGAGACTCAGGTTTGATTCCCAGCCAACGCACCTCTTGTGCAGCCACCACCTGTCAGTGGAGGCTTGTGTGTTGCTATGTTGCTGAACAGGTTTCAGTGGAGCTTCTAGACTAAAATAGACTAGGAAGAAAGGCATGGCAATCTACTTCTGAAAATAAGCCAGTGAAACCCTATGAATCACAGTGGTCCAATCTGCATCTGATCATGGAGATGGCACAGGCCTGGGCAGCATATTCTTCCATTGTGAGTCATGAATCTGGAGCTGACTTGACGCAGCTAACAACAACAGCATGTACCTGTACTGACTGAGGTTCCTGAAGGGAACAGGACAGGCAGTGACAATAGGGGAAGCAAGGAGTTCCTCAGAGGAGGAGGTGCTGAACTTATTTTACTGGCTTCTGGACAGTTAAGACCTTTCTGTGAAGACACTGCTTTAAAAAGGGTGGGCACACATTGCTATATCTCATATCCTGCTGACTAAGCAGGAGTTCCTGGCATGACACACACAAACTTGATGACTGAGCCATGGGATCAGGTGTGGCTAATCAGATGGGCAGTCACTCAAATGGCCCCATCATGGCCCTAGATAGCAGTCACTGTGGCTCTGCCCTGACCCCTGCAGTGCCCATCCCCAAACATGGCACCCTAGTAAACTGCATGCTCAAGGAGGGAAGATCATGCATGGCTGAAGGCAGCTCTGGTAGAGGAGGAATTGAAAATGTAGACTCAGGATTGGGCTGCCTGGGTTTGAATCCCAGCTCCATAACTGTATGACCTGGAGTAAGTAACCTAAGCCTCAAGCCTTATTTTTTCATCTGGAAAGTGGAGATGACATGGTACCATTGCGTAGGTTGTTGCAGGGATTCAATGAGATAATTAATTTATAAAGTGCTTGGAAGAGCGCCTCATAGATTGCAACACATGTAGCATAAAAGTTACCTTTTATCATGGTCATTCCCGGAAAATAAAACCAGTCCTAGAAATCCAGTTTAGGGAATAATTTTGGATTGTATAGCACCTTTGATTCTGAAAGAAAGGAGAGTTTTAGATTTGGGCCATGTCTTCCCGGGGGTTTGCCTGCAAGTAGATTCAGAATCCAGAGTAGTAAGTGAAGCATTATACTTCAAGTGCAAATGGTTTCCATTGTTGAACCAAATAATTCTTTAAGAAAACTACCCCCTCTCCCCAGGGAAATAAGAAAGAAATTATTGTCTGAGTTGATTCAGATTCCATATCATGTATCTCTTTAGGGGATTTCACAAAAGAAGAATGGGGAACAGAGGCAGGTACCTGACTAGTTTTGCCATTAATGTTCAGACTGCTTGGATTTAACAATCGTTTGGGATATATATAATCAGTACTGCTGGATGATGCTATGTAGTTTTATTTTATTGCCATATTTTTATATTTTCTTTTGTTTTTCAAACAAGTTTTTTTTTTCCCTAAATGTGAAGGCATAGATTTCAGTATTATAAGTTATTCCCCTTACTCACCTTGTTTGTATTCTTCCTTTCAGACACACCTTGTTTTAAGCAAGTCTAGTAAATGAAAATCCATATTTACATTACAGATAAATTAGCACTGGGGACTTGTTCCCTGTGGAATGTATTTTCCTAAATTCTGACTTCTGTTCCAGTGCATTTTAAATTGTTTCACTTAAAAAACAAAACAGCCTATAACACAAGGCTGCAGTATTCCAGTAGAGTGCCCCTGAGACTGTGTCCTGGGAGAGAAATGGGACTCTGGGTCTTCTCTTGGAGCAAAAATCTGGGGAGTTGGGAAAGGTGGGGAAGGCCAGCTTGGTGGTGTCTAAGATGTGCCATTCCCTCTGCAGGGTTTGACACCAGCATCCTGCCCATCTGCAAGGACTCCCTTGGCTGGATGTTCAACAAGCTGGACATGAACTATGACCTCCTGCTTGACCACTCTGAGATCAATGCCATCTACCTGGATAAGTACGAGCCCTGCATCAAGCCTCTCTTCAACTCCTGTGACTCCTTCAAGGATGGCAAGCTTTCTAACAATGAGTGGTGCTACTGCTTCCAGAAGCCTGGTGGTAAGGCGGATGGGGATGCTGTCCAGATCCTAGGACAGCCATGCTGGGGCAAGGGAGGACCACATATCACACACTTGGGAGGCAGCTAGACATCAGCAGACAGAAAGACACATCTAGAAAATAAAGAATTCATCCTATTTAATGGCAAATCCAAAGGCTCGTTTCTCCTATTGTGAGAGTCTCAATATGAAAAATACTGTACAAATATAAAAGTATCACAATTACCATTATCACAATTACCAACTTATACTCTGCTTGTTCTCCTTAGAGAAGGCCACTTGTCAGCTTCTCTACGATAAGTATGAATTTATTCTGAGTGTCTTAGACAAGGATATTTTGGTGATAAACTCAAGGTAATTTAAGAAGCAAAGAGGCAAGATTTGGGCAGTATATAGAAAAGATACAGAGCTATCTCATGTAACTCAAAGTCAGATAGGAGGAGCAGCCTGCAGGGGGGATTCAGACTAGGGCCTAGAGGCTGGTGCTCTGACTCTCCCTGTGGGCAGCATAGTCTGGCTTTACTTCCCCCTGCCTCAGCTTCCTGGGTGTGTGCCTAAGTGTGGTGGTCCACAATTCATAGGACCAGCACAGACTGGCTTACATCTAAATCCAATCCCAAGCCCCAGAAAAATCTGGTCCAGCCTGGATCAGGTATCCAGGGTAACATACTGCAAACATGGCTGTCAGAAGCCACCTCCAGGAATAAAAGGATAGCTGCCTACATTAAAGCACTTAAAGTGTATATGTATGTATGTGTGCATGCATGCATGTATGTACAAATAAAACATGCACACAGGAAAACTTTTAGGCATTTGAAAAGGGCATTCAGTGAAAAGTAAGTACATGTGTGTAAGTATATAGGATTATAAAATACATTCCTAGAAGCAGAATTACAGGCCAAAAGGGAGTGTCCATTTTAAAATCTAAGCAGTTTTGCCAATTTGACCTTCAAAGAGGTTGTGCCAATTACCAATTTATACTCTCACCAAAAATGTATAAGTATCTACTTCTCCATGGCATTGCCAGACTTTGTGATCACTGTCAAGAGGGGCACAGGGGCAAGAAATTATATCCCCGTAGAGGCATCATTTCACTTTTCTTCTTCGGAGTTAGGCTGAGCACTTTGTATGTGTTTGAGCACTCTTGACTTTCCTTTTCCTTGAAATGTCTATATTTTCTTTGTACATACTCTGTTAGGCTCTTGGGTTGTTGTTGTGCTTTTTATTTTTTAAGAACTTTCTCTACATTAAGGATTTGCGACTTTTCCAGTGATAAGGGTTGCAAACATTTATTTCCCAACTTGGACTTTGTCTTTGCAATTTTGCTAGAGAGAAATTTGAAATTTTAAGATAGTTATATTTCTCAGTCTTTTATTTTGTGGCTTCTTAGAAGCCATGAAACTTATACTAAACTTCTAAAGGTATTTCCCACTTTAAGATAGTAAAATAATTCCCTTTTTTTTTTTTTAGCACCTTTGTTTATTTAAATCTTGTATCACTCCGGATTTTATTTTGGCATATGGTAGGGTTTCTGCCCCTAACCCCCAGATGGTTTCCAGTTGCCCTCTGTTATTTATTGGCTAACCTATTTTTCTCCCTCTGATTTGAAATGCTTCCTTTATTATATATAAAACCCCTATATGTGCTAATGTCTAATCCCAAATCCTTTGTCCTATTTATGTAACTATTCATAAACCAGTTCCAAACTGTTTAAATTACAGTTGTTTTGCAATATATTTTAATATCTGGTAGGGCTACCATCTCCTTCCATTACTTCTCTTTTACAAGCATTTTCCTGCATATTCTTACATGTTTCTTTTCCCCTTGGAACTTCAGAATCCATTTATCCAATTAAAAAAAAAAAATCTGATTGCTATTTCATTAGAATTAGGCAAGAACAGATTAATCCAGGGAGAATTGGTGGCTGTATAAGATTGAATCTTTTTATCCTGGAACAGGACAACAGCTACATCAGTTACCAGTCAGTTATATTTTAAAGTTTTGTTCTCACAGATATTGTACTTTGCTCCTGTTTATTGTTGTTGCCACTATAAATGCTATAGATTTTTTCCATTATATGTCCTCACTGGTGGTTGTTCCAATGTTAATTTTGTACCCAACCACCTTACTAAGTTCTCCTCTTGATTATAATAGTTATTCTGGTTGATTTGCTTGGATTTTTCAGGCATGCAATCATATCATCTGCAAATAGTGTTCATTTTTTTCTCATCCGTTTCAATTTTTATACCTCATTTCTTTCTCTTTTCTAATTAAATCAGCTAGTACCTCCAAACAATGTTAAACAATAGCCATGGTTTTTATTTTAATAGAAATGCTTGTAGTGATTCAGCATTGAGCATAACAATAATTTTAGGCTTGAGGTCTATGACCTTAGCCTGAGTCCCTTAGAGCTTGAGTGAGGCAAAACCTAAGTGCTAATGCTTCCCCTAAGGAGCCCTGGTAGCACAATGGTTAAGTGCTTGGCTGCTACCCTAAAGGTTGGTAGTTCAAATCCACCCAGCAGCTCCATGGGAGAAAGACCTGGTGATCTGGTTCTGTAAAGATGATAGCCTAGGAAACCCTATAGAGCAGTTGTCTTCTGTCACATGGGGTTGCTATGAGTCAAAATCAACTCAGTGCCACCCAGCAACAACAACGCTTCCCCTAGGGTGCAGTGCCAGTACCCTGAGTCAGAGTTGGTGGCCTGGCCACATGGGATGTCTCTGGCTAGACTGCCCTTGCAGCAACTGCTGGGGCTGTCAGGACCGCCCCCCGCCCCCAATCCCCTGGCATGGCTTGGCCCCTGGGATGAGTTGAGCAAAGTAAATGTTTGTTTTTTCTCTCTCTTTTCTCATTTTATTTACTTATTTTTTTATGAGGTTAGTTAGCTCCTTTACTTTTTTATTAGATCACCACCACCACCCTCCCCAGCTCAGCACCAGTCTTGGGATTTCTGTCTTACTTCCACCTGTCTTTAATTCGTTGTATTGTTATTGTATCTAAAAATGTGAGGAGGGTGATAATGTCATGCTTAGTATTTCCTGTTTATTAATGTATCTCAGGCTAAAATTTTCTCTGAGGCAGTCCGTTAACTGTAGGCCATAGAGATTGGTATCTGTTATTCTTATTATGGTTAACGTGTATATTGTGTAATTAAGGCTCTGAGTGCCTTTTTGACTCAAGAACGAGTTAAGAGAACACTTTTAAACTTTTCGTGTGGTAGGATTATTTGTTAACTGGTTTTGATATTTTTCTTTAGTTTTACTGCTAAGTTTGACCTTCAGAAGTGTTTTCAAAAATTCTCTTGGGAATTATAGTCCTTGAATTAGTCCTTGAATGTTTAAAAATATTTGTTTCTTTTATTCCTGAACAACAGTGTTGTTAAGTGTAAACATCCAAGAAGTCAGTTCTGTTTTTTTTCTGATAATTTTTTTAAACATTATTTTCCTAGCACTGGATGGAGCTATAGAAAAATGTGAAACCATTCTAATGTTTATATGTTTGTTTGGTTTTTCTTCCCCATTATTGGTGATGTAATCATTTCACCCAGAAAACAAAGGATTCTTTCTTTGCTTTTCAAGGACATTAATTTACTAGGACATGTCTCAGTTTTGTTCAGTCTGTATCACTTTTCCCTGAGGCATGTTGTACTCTTTTGAGCTTTAGAATGAAATCTTTTGTTTTTTAATTTTAATTATAATTTTCAGGAACTTTTCTTAAATTAACTATGTCTTTGAAAACTTTTTTCTTCCATTTGATTAGTCTCTTCTCAGGAGCGTGAATAACGTGTATTTCATATGGGTATGGCCTTTATTTCTTTAATTACTCATTTTCCCCTTTCTGTATTATTTTTATCCTTGAGCCTTTGTATCTCTGCCTTGAACTCTAGTCTTTACAGACTCTATTTTTCATTATATTCTAGGATTTCTTAGAGAAATCTTTGGTAATTATTTTCATCTACAAAATTCAGCAGCAAATTTTTTTTATATGAATTCTTCATCTGGAGTTTGTGTTATTCTTTCCTTTGTTTTTTTGACAGCATTTTTGAGTGGATTCCTGTCTGATTCATTTTCTTTATCTTTCAATAAGTAGAGTGTTTTTACTTGCCGTAGAATAGTTTTAGGGAAGGGTCAGTAGTTACAGTTAGCAGGAAGTCAGTGTGCCTCATAGTAAAAGTGTCTGATAACAGTGTTTGCAGGAACGCTTTTGATTTTCCTTCTCTTCAGCACTGAACAATCTTCTAAATGCCTATAGCTTCTATCTTTCTGCATAGTTACAAAGATGAGATTTTCATTTAAAAAATAGGGATAATGTTGGTACCTACCTTATATGATTGTTGCAAAGATTAAATGAATTAAGACATAAAGTTTTAGAACATTGCTTGATACTTCTAAGAGATCAATAAATGTTAGTTATAATAATAAATGCTACCTTTAGTCATCAAGATAGAGTTTGTTTCTCCTTTTCTTTGTTATTTTCCACTGATATCTTTCCCCTTTACTCTGAAAGCATCTTAAAATCAGAAGTTAAGAAAATGCCTTTCACAACCAGTCTCTCTCAGGGAACAAGCAGCAAAACCAGGTGGCACTGTGAAATCCATAGAGCAATGGATGTAAATAGGTGCTTAGATGGGTGGAGGTGGGGGGAGGAGGAGGCTGTAGAAGGAGGCAGTGTGAACTGAAGGTAAAAGCCCTGAGAATCAGAACATTTTTCCAATAGCTGGAGGACAGTGAGCAAACAGCAGAACCTTCTGGAGCCACAAGATCTGCTAAGGCAAATTGTGATAAAACTCTAAAGAATTTCTTTTTGCTTGAAAATGGAAGTAAGTTCTTCTCGGGGGGTGGGGGCAAAGGGTACCACACGCTTTCACACATCCCACTTAGTCACGCGGCTTTCACTGCATCTGTCCTTCCTTTGGGAGCCCTGGTGGTGTAGTGGTTAAGAGCTCAGCTGCAAACCAAAAGGTCAGCAGTTCAAATCCACAAGCCGCTTCTTGGAAACCCTATGGGGCAGTTCTACTCTGTCCTATAGGGTCGCTATGAGTCGGAATCCACTCCATGTCAACAGGTCTTTCCTTTGAGGTGTAGCTGTTTCATGCTGGTTCCTACAACATGCAGATCATACAACATACATTTTACAACTGAGGGCTCAGCGGCTGAGAGGGGTGAAAATGCTTGCCCAAAGTACTCAGCTAGTAGGTGGCAGAGTTGAGATTTAAGGTCCCGCTCTTAACCACTGCGCTTGCTGCCTCTCTGGGTCTCTTCTCTATCTTAATAGTTGTCCTTCGAGGCCTCAGTTTTACTTTCTTGGGGTAGTGAGCTGTGAGGTCTGAAGTAGCATTCTGATCCTCTTTCTCCCCTGCAGCGAGACCTGGGATAGAGTCAGCATCTGTCGCCTTCTGGTTAGTTGGTCTGGTCTTTGGATTTAGAACACTAACCTACTAAACCTTGACCCCAATTCTCAACTCAGAGAAGCCTTAGCTCATAATTTACTTCCTGATATAAAGGAAGAAGTCTATTAGCAAATCACCTATCAGACACTTGTATTTGCTATTTGCTTAAGTTGTTGGTAGGAGGAAAAATTCCCGTACAATGGAAGTAGCCCCCAAGTACTATTTGAAGTACCCTGTGGTATGAGGTTTTTGTTTTTTTAATTAGTAACAGTAATGGCCTAAATTTGTTTTCCTGCATAGTAACAGCATATGGAGTAATTCCACTCCCAGGTGTGTCGTTGTCTACATTTCACGTCAAGAGTGAAGCCGATCATTAGAGATTATATCCCACACCATCTGGAAACTGACTTTCATAAATTATTTTTTAGGTCTCCCTTGCCAGAATGAAATGAACAGGATTCAGAAGCTTAGCAAGGGGAAAAGCCTGTTGGGTAAGTACAATTTCTTGCCGCTCGTTTAAACAACTATTAAACCATCCATGTCTCTTGTAATGTTGAGTAGAGCAATGGTTATTCAATTAGGGACCAGTGTTTTGTGAAAGAAATGCCTTGTTCTACCCGGGCAGGGCTCTTCCAGGCAGCTGGAAATATGCCACAGTCAGCTGGACATAAACGGGATTGGTTAGCTGGCCGGGAAATGCTGCCTGCTCCAACATAAGGAAGAGAGGTCAGGAGGCAGCTCAGGACTAGTGGGCAGGCCAGCAGGGTTAGAATGAGCACCATCTCAATTGCTAATTACTCCGTGACCTTAGGCTGCAATGAACCTTGGCTTTCTCTTCTTTGAAGTAAGGCCGTTGAATAGAATTCTCAAGTATCCTTCTCACCTCTAAAATTATAAAGTCTGTAAATGATTCCTGGCCAATCCTATGATGCTGAGCAGGTTTCAGTGGAGCTTCCAGACTAAGATGGACTAGGAAGAAAGGCCTGGTGATCTACTTCAGCAAATCAGCCAACAAAAACCCTCTGGATCACAACAGTCAGATCTACAACCGATCACGGAGATGGTACCGGATCGGGCACCAGTTTTTTCCATTGTGCATGGGGTCACCATGAATCAGGGACCGACCTGATGGCAGCTAACAAGAACAACATAAATGATAGCATTTCCTGTATTTCTCAGATCAGTTTGTCCATCCAAGGAGGAAGATGAGCTATAACCCAAGCCAAACCCACTGCCGTCGATTCTGACTCATAGCGACCCTATAGGTCAGAGTAAAACTGCTTTATAGGGTTTCCAAGGCTGTAAATCTTTACAGAAGCAGACTGCCACATCTTTCTCACACAGATCGGCTAGTGGATTTGAACTGCCAACCTTCTGGTTCGCAGTCGAGCTCTTTAAGTACTATGCCACGAGGGCTCCTTAGATGAGCTATACTCCCTTCAAAATGTTATCAGACAGAGTTCTATTTAGATTTCTCTGTTTTTCATGTAAACCTTGGAGGAAAGTGCTTTGGCTGTTTAGACACTGCCCATTTCTCTGATCTTTGTCCAAATGTTAGGCAGAAGCAAGTGGGTCGTGTGAGTGTTTTTCCCAAGCATGTGAATCTGTGGCAGAGGTGAAGATAACAGCTGCTCACCCATCAAAGCCTTCCTTTTACCTCCAAACCCTCCTTCCTCCTACACCAGGCCGTGCCTGAGATGCTGGTAAACCTCATTTCTTTGAGGAAGAAAGGAGTCTGCCTTGCTTTCCTTGCCTTTTTTTTTTTTTTTTTTTTACAAAGAGAGCTGAAGACTAACACAATAACTCAAAATTATTCTTGTTTAGCATTCAGAGGAAGGTGCATCCCCTAAGCAGCCTGCCATTTCAGAAGTCTATTTACTTGAAGGAAATGGGCAAGTTTTCTTGCAGACTTGTTGAAAGTAGGTGCTGTGAACTCTGGCAATTTCTCCTATTCTGATATTTGGCTAACATCAAAGTGCATACGCCCTCTCCTCTTCCTTCTGCTTTTTAAATTTACTTGATTGACTGGCCCCCTTCATTCTTTGCACTTTTAATAACCCCTATTCAACTCAGAAAGAACCAGTAACTCCAAAGTTGTCATGATTTTGACCTCTCTGGCCCTCAGTTCCTTCCCCGTGTAAAAAGACACGAAGACATCTTTCCGATCCGAAGGCAAACTGGCTGGAATCTTCTTCCATAAGTTTTCCAGTGCTAGGACTTGTGCTTACTGATCTTATTCCTTTACGTGGAATGTTTTCTTGTATTCACGTGATGTTCCTGAGGTCCACAGGCAGTTATAAAACTAGTATAATGCTATTTTTTTTGTTTTCCATTGGATATGGATATCTTATTTCTGCCTCAGTGATTAGTAATTAATCAAACATCTGCAAGGTGCACAGCCTGAGATAAGATGTCTCATTTTCCATTTTTCCAAGCTCACATAAATTAAATGCCTACCTTTGCTCCACCATGAATCCCACCTAGTTTTAAAGCCCACTTTATCACATATCCTCATATATGAAGATTATTCTGGCTGACTCATAAAAATGTCATTTATTTAGTTACAAACTTTTTTTTCTTTTTTTTGCATGGGGATAATCTCCTAATATAATAAACGTGTATTCAGGGGCATTCAAATTAAAAAAAAAATAAATAAAACCAGCAGCAACAAATTATAATCAGTTATAATTACTGCCTACTTAGAAATGTGGTAATCCTATTACATTGTAGATTTAGAGCAGCACCTGCTTCTTGCCAACCTGGGGGATCAGCCCAATATGCTTTTTTTGGTCTATTAAGTGCTATTTTCCAACTGCAACTCAGGAAGAGGATCAGCGTTTCTCCATGTCTCTACTTGTTCTCTTCCTTTGCAAACCTCGACTGAGAATCTGTTCACAAATTTCTCTGTTTCTTGGTCCCCTGGGATGCTGAAAGCAACTATTTTTTCTTTTCCTTCCTTACGCTCCCTGCAGACTAGGGGCAATGTGCTCTGGCTTGAGAGTCTAAGTAAGAGTGTGGGTGCCATCACTGAGCCCCTCATTGTGGTATCAGCAGGCTTTCCTAACTGATGGATACAGTGTTTAGGGGCCTCCAGAGGCACCCTACCTCTTCATGATCTCATTTGATCTCTGGGAACCAGAGTGTCTCAGAATAGCCTGGTGAGCAGAGTGAATGAGAGTAGATCCTAGAGTCAGCTGGACAGGGTTCAAATTAGGAGAAATTACTCCATGCAGTGACTTTTGCTGCCATGAAATAAAAAGTAAATTAATAAGAACATAGTTACTCTCTAAAACAAACAAACAAAAAGAGAGCTACTACAATAGCTCCCCACTTATCCGTGGTTTTGCTTTCGAGGTTTCAGTTACCCAAGGTCAACCACAGTTCAAAAATGTTAAATGAGTAGGTAGCATGATGAAATCTCATGCCATCCTGCTCCGTCATTCACATAACTTTTATTACAGTATATTGTTATAATTGTTCTATTTTATTATTGGTGTTAATCTCTTCCTGTGCCTAATTTATAAATTAAACTTTATCATAGGTATGTATGTATAGGACAAATCATAGTATATATAGAGTTTGGTACTATCCGCATTTCAAGCATCCACAGGAGGTCTTGGAATATATTCCCCGTGGAAAAGAGGGGACTACAAGGGGGGACTACTGTCTACTAAGATAAAGGAATAGAAAGCCACAGTGCTGAGTAGGTGTCTCTGTGTCCCTGAAGTTGATGTTGAAGATGTTACTACCCAGGTCCCACTCAGGAGAATTCTCCCACAGAAGATGAACACCCAATCATGAAGTAACACACAAATGCACATGCACACACATACACACACTCACACCCTAAGGAAAACCAGAACTAAAAACAATCATAAAAATCACCTACTGTTGAATTAGAATCATGTTAACATCATCAGATTTATCAGTAGCACTGATTTAAGAAGAGAATGTAGTAATTTGTCAAAGTGCTGAATCTAAATTCTAAACTCATTCCAATGATCATTCAAATGTGATAGCAGAGATATTTTAAAACCATCTAAGATCCAGTAAGTTTACTAACCACCAAAAAACAAAAACAACCAAATCCATTGCCGTCAAATTGATTCCAACTAATGAGAACCCCGTGTGTTCCATAATAGAACTGCTCTGTAGGGTTCTCTTGGCTGCAGTCTTAACAGAAGGAGATCACCAGACCTTTCTTTTGTGGTACCACTGGGTGGGTTCCAACCACCAACCTTTAGGTTAGTAGTCAAGCACAAACCATTTGTGCCACCTACGGACCTTCACTAATCACAGAATTCTTTTAAAAATATCACTAAAGGATTTACTCTACAAGAAGAAAAATAACTCCAGAAGGACTTATTGAGATGCAATGGTAAAAAAGAAATAAGACCTACTGTTAAATCTGAATAAATGTGACCTATAAAAATATTTTTATAGCAAGCTAGAATTAAAATTTCAGACTACTGGGGGCAGGAGAAAAAGATAGTAAACTGTGTTAAATTTCTGATTTTATTCAGGAAGAAATGAAAATATAGATTAACTTTAGATGTTATTAGGAAAAATACGCTTCTATCTGGAAAATGTAAGAGTAAACACAAGAAGATTAGAAATACAATATATATTTTTTAAAGCTAGAGAAGAAGAACATGAAATAAAGAGAACTTGATTATTTCAACAGGAATCAGGAAATGGGAAAAATGGTAAATAGGGGGCAGGAATAAGATCAAACATATCTGTAATCACAATAAATGTGAATGGACCAAACTTACTTATTATGAGACTGAGACTATAGACTGGTATTTTAAAGAAAGAGTTACACATAAAACAATTCCATGGGAAGTTGAAATTAAAACATGGTAAAAAGTCTTTTTTAATAACCACATTAATATCTGACAAAAGCAAATACTTTGCTCTGAATTCTAAAAACAAAGAGGGATATATGTTGCTGAAATGTTCCTTTTAACCATATTATGTTATCAATTGGTATACTCATAGTTTTAAAATAAAACAAAACTTAATAGAATTGTGTTTCAGAATTGACTCAATGGCAGTGGGTTTGGGTTTTTTTGTTTTTGTTTTTAGTAGAATTATAAGGAAGAATTGTCAGATCCACAGTCATAATCATAGACTTTAAGATACCTCTTCTTGAAATTTACAGTTCAAGCAGACAAAAAAAAAAAAAAGAGGGCATTAACCCTAAGTGTCTCTGTGCTTCTCTGGTTAAAGTTCACCCTTTTGTTCCTCAGGGGCGTTTGTACCTCGGTGTAATGAGGAGGGCTATTACAAAGCCACACAGTGCCACGGCAGCACAGGGCAATGCTGGTGTGTGGATAAATACGGGAACGAGTTGGCTGGCTCCAGGAAACAGGGTGCTGTGATCTGTGGTGAGTAAGGCCTTCTTACATCAGCCCCACAATGACCCCCAGTGACCCTTGGGTCCTTACCATGTAAGAATCTGCAGAAGAATTTTAAGAGATAGCTATGGTCTACAGTGTGTAAGGGAGACACAGTAATCTTGAAATCACATGCGATTATGCATATCTAGGTTTTCAGATGCCAGGAATTCACCACGACCTTGGGCTGGACAACAGTTTTTGACAGTCAGGGACTTGTTGCAAGCAAAGAGAAACTTTTGCTGCCATTGTTTTTTGCTTAGGATTATAAAACCTCTCCCTGAAGGTAGAGGCATGTCAAGAATTCTAGGGCTCAAATCAAAACAATGCTTGTGGTCCGTGCCACTTAGACTAACCCCACCTGGTTTATTTTAGAAGCAGCAGAGGTGACATGCTCCTACATTCAAAAAGTAAATTGCATGGTTTTACCCTACAGTTAGGTCACAGCAAGGGAGGAACCCTGACATGGGTCATGGCATATAAGCAGAAACTAACCTCAAATCTTTTCTCCCTTCTTAACATATTTCAGAAGAGGAGCAGGAGACGTCAGGTGATTTTGGCAGTGGTGGCTCTGTGGTCCTGCTGGATGACCTCGAGGATGAGCAGGAGCTCGGACCAAAGGACAGAGAAGGGAAGCTTAGGGTGCATACCCGGGCTGTGACAGAGGATGATGAGGATGAGGATGACGACAAAGAGGATGACGTCGGGTACATATGGTAGTCCCCATGAGGAAGAGGACATGGGTTTTGCACAAAATTGCAAGTTACTTCCTATTCCTCCTGCATTTGTATCTAAGACTCTGAGGCACCAAGGTCTCCTCCACTGTTGCTGTCTATACCCGACCCAAGGTTTGGAAGACAACTCCTTGTTCCCAGAGCATTCTGATTTTGAATTTCGTTGTGTGGGAGGAAGGGTGTTGTGCTTTGTTTTTTTCCGACATGGGAATGGCTGGCTTAATAAGAGTCTCCTTCCCTCCCGTGAGATTTATGCAACAAGCATGTGGTTTATGTGGAATTCTGACAGTGCAGGGAGCCCCCGCCCTCTTAAACGTCAAAAACCCTTTTTGATCACCCACACTGGTGGTTATTACAGCATGGTTCCCGGCCTTACAGTGTCTAAGTGCTTTTCTTGTGTCCTGTAGATGTCATGGAAAACACCACACCTGTCCTTTGCCCTCCCTGCCCTCTACTACCCCTGGTGTTTATTATTAAAAATTACGTTTTCACATAACTGTATCTGGCTTCCCACAAACAACAGCCTTAATTCAGTCAAGAGTCCCTTTGGGGAATTCATTTTCTTTATTAAAAAATGGTGTCTGGATGCTTCTCTCTGTACATGCATAAATATGTACGTGTGTACATAAGCGGCTGTGAGTGTATGCATGCACACACATGTATGCACACTTCTTAGAAAAAGTGCTTGATGTATCCATTAAAAACTTATTTGAAAAACAGTTATACATTTATTAGCTTGTCCAGACCTGGATTGCAACTTCTGGAGTAAGATTTGTGTTGAAGTCCTCGTTTGCACTAATAGTTGGCCCTTGTAGCCTGCAGACTGAGGAGGTTTCTTCTCTATGCATCATCAGAGTTCCTGGAAGCCTCTTTGATTCGAATAAGGCTTCGTCTGCCTAAATCACTTTTGTTGCGAAGCCATGCGACTCCCACATGGGCAGCTTCACAAGCCATCTCTTTCATTTCTGCTCAAAGACCTTCTCAGCTGCAGCAGTGCAGTCTGCCAAAGGCTCCTCCCTTCCCTGCCTACTCAAGGGCTTTTTCTAAGGCATGTACACATACCCCTGTTCTTGAGAAGACAGTACCCCAGTGTTCCCCTAAGAGAATAAAATTTAAGATTCTTAATGTTTTGCTTTTGTTCCCTTTCTATCCACAAATCATGATGAAGGTACAAAAGCTGTACAGATTTTTACCGCCCATCATTGTTTGCAAAGAATCCCAGACAGAGGCCTAGACAGAACTTCTTAGTAGCACAGGAGGCTAGAGTTGGATTTTTAAGAGCTAGTCCTCCTTCTGCCTATCCCTCCGCCTACAAGTGTAGACACTAATGATACTAATGAAGAAAGCCCTTCACTACTGCATTTCTTTTCCTGGAGTCAACTCATTTTTGGTTTGAGTTCAAATTCGGTAGAGTTGTCATCTCTGCATTCTTTAGCATTGTTCTCCCTAGCAAGCTGGCCCAGATACAAGTACCAAAGAATAGTCTTCAAAGTGGCTCCATTCAGTTCAGTACCTGTCCTTAAGCCCTTGCCCCATCTGGTTGCCACCTACCTGGATGCTCCAGTCAGCAGCCCAAGCAAAACTCTCTGGCCCACATTTTTTTCTCTTGCTTTTCCTATTAGCTGTAGCCCATCCACAAGAAGACCACATTAATTAACTCAGGCAAAAAATATATTCAGCCAAACCACGATCATAGCAACAACTGACCAACTCCATCCACCTCAAATTGACCATTTATTTGTACCTTACCAACCTGCCTCAAACTGGAACTTTCCAGCCCTTGCATTTAGCTGGATAAAACAATTATTTCTAGAGTTGGGCTCAGATGAGAAATGAATATATTTGATGGAGTTAACTCTTTGGCATGATAAACACAAGTACAACCAGAATCCTAGGTATATTTACTTTCGCTGTAGGGAGACCATAGACAAGCTCTGTATTGGAATCTCAACCTCTATTTCAATTTTTTTTTTCTCACTTGAACAAAGCTTTGAAATCATAATTTAGAAAACAGGTGCTTGGTTGCAGCTAAATGACAATAGAGTATATGAAAAACTCAAGACATATTAAACTCAGTTTAGACCATCAGAGAAAACCATTGTTACTATCTCCTCCAAGCTTGGAAAAAGCACACGAAAACAAATTAAAATCGACAAATTGATTTCACTTAGAGAAACTTCCAGGAACAGAGTGAACCACTGATTTTAATTTGCCTAATTATCTTATGACAAGTGTCAAATTAAGATGACACTTACAGATCCTTAGCATTAGCTTAATTATGAAGAAGAGTGCTCAGTAGACAATTCCCAGTAATGAGATGCCATTTTCAGAGATATTCCAAAAAGATATTTAGATTCATTAAAATATTAAATAAAAAGCCCTCCTGAGACTGGAGCCCAAAATCAATGGCGCAACATTAACACCACTTTTCATGCCTCGCTTTGGCATGGCAGCATTAGGTTTTTTTCAAGGTCTTTAGTACTTTTCACAAGTACTATAAATTGAACTTTAAGTTAGCCTTAGAAGTAGAATTTTTGTTTTCCTCTTCTAGGAGGAGTCCTTTAGTTACTGTGACTGAGTATACATAAAGTCTTGATTAAAAAAAATAGTATTCTGATAATCCAATCCCTTGTTTGAGACAGGTATTGAGTTGAATCCTTACTAACTCATTTGTGGAAACTCCTGAGTGAATAGTTTTATTCTTATTCATGAATGACTCTTTTATTTAATATTGTTTCCGTGGCATCCAGCTTAAATCCCAGAAATGTCTCCCATCATGGTTAGTTGTCTGGCATACTAATGTCCATTGGTTTCAACAAGTATTCTAGGTATAGGAATTCCTTAATATGCTGAATTTGAGGTTTTGTATCAGTTTCCCCTTCTTTTATGCCCATTTCCCCACCCCCAGCACAAACAACAAACATGTCTGTCCAGGTCTGCCTCTCTGCTCTTCCCAGGATGCCATTCACATTTTTTTTTTACCCTGACCACACAGTACAGTAACATCCAAGAGCCCTTTCTACAGTGGGTGGTTTTGGTCTTTTTATACCTTTTTCTCAAAGTCACTGATGTTTGTCCCTGTCAAATGTGTAGCATTGTTAACAACAGCCCACCAAATCCTGAGTGTCAGTTTGTTTACCCTATTGTAGATGAAATACTGAAGTAGGAAAACCTAGTAAATTTTGAATGCTTTTCCATGTATACTTATCTGGAATGTGAACATGACTCTTTGGTTAATAATAAATGCTTAACTGTAGTCTTGAGTAGGTGCATTTCTGTCCGTCTCAATAAATTTTGTCTGCAACATCTCAGTGTGTGTATTTTGTTGGGTTTCATGTGAACTAAGCAGGTCAGGTCCACACACCATCACTGGAGAAGAGTATGGGCAGACAAAAGGGATTGCCAACAGAGGCCATAGTCAGGGCTTCTGTATCTGGTAGGGAGGTTGACCTGCTGGCCATACAGCCTGGCCTGGCCTCTTTTCACACCCTGGCATGTACATGCCCTCTACCTACTCAGTCTAGAACTATTCCACTTGGCCCCTATTTTGACTACTTTTACCTCTTTCAGACACCAGCTTTGTAACCTGTTCCTTACCCATCAGATTCCACTGTTGCTGTCCTGTTTAAAACCTTCAACTTTTTCAACTATGCTTATTACTTCCTTCCCCAGCCAGTTATTCTCCAGTTCTCCCAGAAAAAAACAAAACAATAAAAATATTTCTCGCCTCATAGGGACTCTGGGCTCTCCTTAGTTCATGAATTAACACACCAGATACTTGTCAAACATCAGAAAGCACCCAAGTTGGAAAAGGAATTATTTCCACCTTTATCCACATTTGGGCCAATCTGTCTATGACTTAATTATACCCTGAGTAATTTCACCATAAGCTGAGGTAGAAACTATTTTATGAATAATTCCATTCCCTTACCCCATGGACCAGATTTTACAGACAATTTACATATTGACAATTCAAGGAAAGATGCTTCATATATCCACAAAATGTCAGGAGAATAATGGCCAATATGAAGGCTTCAAGGTAGTTAAAGGGGTACATTAAAGAGTTGTTGACATTTGTGGACATGTTCCAAATTCCTCTCAAATCACGATTTTACAGGTCAAACCCTACATTTCTCCTAAAGTCATACCTTTGTGAATGCCACCTTGTCATTTAAAAGGACCGTAGAAGAACTGGCTATGAGGAGACCTGGCTTCCTGTTTTGGTTATGTAGCTCTTTGCTTACTACTTTCTCAAAGTTCTTAGTCAGTTTGAAGATTTACTTCAATTAGTTGATTTAAGGAAAGAGAAAGATTTCAAAATGTATTCATTCAATAAGCCTGTCTTAGTTATATAGTGCTGCTATAACAGAAATACCACAAGTGGGTGGCTTTACAACGATAAATATATTCTCACAGTTTAGGAGGCTAGAAGTCTGAACTCAGGGCACCAGCTCTAGGAGAAGGCTTTCTCCCTCTGTCTGCTCTGGAAGAAGGTCCTTGTCATCAGTCTTACCCCCTGATCTAACAGCTTCTCAGCACAGGGACCCTGGGTCCAAAGCATGTTTTCCACTCCTGGCACTTCTTTCTTGGTGGTAATGAGGTTCCTCTTCTTTCTTTTATATCTCAAAAGAAATTGACTCAAGATAGAACCTAATCCTGTAGATTGAGTCCTGCCTGATTAACATAACTGCCTCTAATTCTGCCTCATTAACATCATAGTGGTTAGATTTACAATACGTAGGAGACTCATCAGATCACAGAATGGTAGACCACTGCACAATACTGGGAATCATGGCCTAGCTAAGTTGATACACATTTTTGGGTGACACATTCAATCTGTAACAAAGCCTTTATAGATGAATAGGTAGATTTATAGGTTAATAGGTTCAATAAATACATGTTGGATGGATGAATGCCCATATGGCACCATATTCAGTTCTAGAAATATAAAGGTGAATAAGACCTGGTACCTGCCTGTGAAGATATGATCATCTAAAAAAAACAGACATATACATAACTGTTACAATATAGGTTGATGCCAGTGACCACTCCAGCCTTGTTAAGGCTTGCCTTTCTTGGTTCCTTTTACACATAATTCCCTGGTTTTCTTCCTACTTCTCTGGTCATTCATTTTGGGTTTCCTGTATACCCTTTTGTTCAACCAGTTCTGTAAGTATCTGTGTCCCTGGGCCACATCTCTTTAAACTGACATGCTTTCTATGGACATTCATATCTATGCCTTTGAGTTCAATCACCTCCGCCACTCTGAGAAGCCCCCGATCCGTATCTCAGCTGTAGGTTTTAACTTCTGATCCACAATCAACTCGTTTAAATAATTCCTGAATTTCCCATTGACAACTCAATTTCAAACTTTCAAAAGTCAAAATGATAGAATAAGACCTTAGGCATCA